CAAGCCTTCAAATGTCGCCTAATCTCATATATACATGGTTGGCGGCATCCGGTTTCGGATTTGCCTGTCACTGTGGCAAGCCACAGGACGCCTGCGCCTACAGAGGGACCATGGATGGCTTGCGCTGCACCACCCACAGCTCCAACCACACACCCCATATCCAGTGTAAACCCGAAGGAATAAGACCGGGAGGCATGTGGATGGGAGCCACGTTTCATCAACGGAGCCGGCCCACACTCCTTCACAGGCAAACACAAGCACGCTGTATTTGGGGAATCAAGTGCACACAAGGCGGTGGCTGGACCGTAGTCCGCTCCATGCTGAGTGCATGGAACCACTCTTCGAGCCTAACACGGCCACAAGGACTGTGCATCCCGTCCCCTCCAGCAACGACCAACTGTTTCCTGGAGCCAGTATGGACGAGGTAGTGGGTAATAGACAGGTAGGCACCTTGTCAACATGCCCATCAAGCGCAGCCACACCGGGGATATCAAACAACAGCCAAACACTTGAGAGGGGGGGGAAAGAAAAAGAGAAACAACTCGATTAATGCATAAGGAAACGGTGACATAAACCTTAATTAAATAGCGTACGTAATAAGTTGTTTACAAACAAATCCTAGCTAAGTGCACGAGGTCAGGAAGTATAGTTCACGGAATGCCACGAACACAAAAATGTTATGGAAATCGAATACAATTGGCTGAAGCGATGTGTGCAAGTTAATGGAATAGAGTACATGGAGATATTCATATGAGAAAGAAAAGCATTAAGGCACAAACTGTAAACCCACCACCTGAAATAAAGAGACTTAGCATGCAAGCACGCGGTTAGTAAATCGAATTCAGCGTGTCTACAAACGCTGCGCCGGCTCGTCGTAATTCTCTGCAAGACCCGTCGTCGCTTCTGTAGTGGCCCCAAATGGCACAGCGCATTGCCCACTAGACGTTTATATGAGAAAGAAAGGCATTAGGAGAGAATCGCAAACCCACCACCTGAAATAAAGAGACTTAGCATGCAAGCATGCGGTTAGTAAATCGAATTCAGCGTGCCTACAAACGCTGCGCCGGCTCGTCGTAATTCACTGCGGGACCCGTCGTCGCTTCTGTAGTGGCCCCAAATGGCACAGCGCATGGCCCACTAGACATTTATATATTTATGTATACATATATATATATATATATATATATATATTCGAAGGCAGTTGCCGAAGGGCGGGAGAAAGACCTCATACATGCAGCGAAGAAGTGGCAATTGCGGAAGCGACCGGCGCCGATGGGTTGTACTCTACTGACATCGAGCGCATGGGGCTGTAGCGCATGCGGTCGCTAGTGACTGAGTCAAGCACGTCGCCGAAGCTAATTATAGTTAATTTCGATTACGTTTTCGCGTTTGTGACATTTTTTAAAATATATCTTCTAACCTCTTTAAATTATCGCGGATTCGTTCGTAAACAATTTATTTTATACGCCTATTTAGTGAGGAGTTATGCGGTTTATTTTATTTTATTTATTTATTTATTTCATCTTGTCGTTTCAAGTGATTGGCTGTTGCTTGATATCCCCGGTGTGGCTGCGCTTGATGGGCATGTTGACAAGGTGCCTACCTGTCTATTACCCACTACCTCGTCCATACTGGCTCCAGCAGACAGTTGGTCGTTGCTGGAGGTGACGGGGTGCACTGTCCTTGTGACCGTATTAGGATCAAAGATTGGTTCTATCCACTCAGTGTTGAGCGGACTACGGTCCAGCCACCGCCTTGTGTGCACTTGATTCCCCAAATACAGCGTGTTTGTGTTTTCTTGTGAAGGAGTGTGGGCCGGCTCCGTTGATGAAACGTGGCTCCCATCCACATGCCTCGCGGTGTTATTCCTTCGGGTTTACACTGGATATGTGGTGTGTGGTTGGAGCTGTGGGTGGTGCAGCATAAGCCACCCATGGTCCCTCTGTAGGCGCAGACATCCTGTGGTTGGCCACAGTGACAGGCAAATCCGAAACCGGATGCTGCCAACCATATTGCGATTATATGTATGCGCCACAACTTCATATTGCCCATGTAAGCGCATCGCATTGCCTACAAATATGATCTGTGCCAAATATGCACGCAGCTTCTCACTTGATAAGAAATATGTCTATTCTTCTTACTATTATTTTTATGAGATATATTATATTACCGAAGGTACCAGTGAACTTCCCGTGTGCCGTTGATGAATCGTTGTTTCACCAATGACCACTAGCTCTCTATTTGCCCGGTGTTTCAATAGGCTATTTCTATGTTTGTCAATCAAGATGTTCTTCTTGTTCAGATCCCTTTATTTCAGCTTTCCCTAAGGCCACTTAGGAGAAAAAACGGACACGAATGTCGCTTTTTGTTATTCTTCGACTTTTGTTTATGCTTGCAATTATTGGTCATGGTGATTATGTGATCCACGCTAACCACTTTGTCAGGTATCTGGCGCGCGCTGGTCATCTTTTATTGTCATCTACTCCGCTGTGAAAAACACTTGATGACCCCTAACTTAGAGGATGAATCTGGGCCAACATCACTATATCCTTACTCCAATGAAAAAAATGAGCAGGTGCTGAATTGTCACGATACACCTACCTGTCTCTGATCAAATTCATGGATTTACCACGAATGCTTTTTCATCTCCCCGACTAACCGGTAAGGCTGCGCTCCTGGTCTTTGCTCGACAGATGCGGACAACAGCTGATAACTCTGCACACATGGAGTCTGATTGCATGGTTCTTGGGACCCATCACGCCTCCATTTAGTAAACGACCACTGAACCCACGGAAAGACACAGAACAATCGGGTTTGTCAATATTTTTTATCTCCGGCGTCCTGATCCCATCTCTGCAACCATACGCCTGAGACGTTGGGTGACGGCATGTACTGGCAGCTGAAACGCTTAACGTAGCTCGATTGATTAATTCAGGTCTGAGCATCACAGTATGGCGTAACCAGTTTCCATGAGCGTCACACCACAATGCCGTCTAAAAAGAACAATAGGCCGGAAAAAACAAGTAGACTTCTGCACATGAAACTGACGTGTATAAAGGGCCCAGAAACTGCTGAATACGAAAGTTAGCGCACAGAGGCGAGTGGATGCACGCAAGGGCGCCACGAACCGAATTGGAGGCTGAGACTCGTCACCCCTAATCGCAAAGTGGCTTTTTTTGGGAGCTGTTCTGTCACCACTGAATATTCACTTACATCAGCCCTAGACCACTCCCTTTGCGGACAACCTTACTGATCTATGCAGATGACAATGTCTTGGGCATCAATCGAGGGAACATTGTCTCTTTAGACTGATATTCTAAATGTTCTGACGGTTTGATCGAAAGCACATGAGCCGTCGCTTAATTCGTCGCGATACAATGTTGCTTTTCCCTGCGTTGTGGAAGTCGGCGTCGGAAGCTTCCCGCACAAGGCCCTAAATTCTGCACCAATGGCGAAAAGTTACACTCACCCACACTGATGAAGTATCTACGTGTCTCTCTTAACTACCACCCATCTTAGTCAGCGTGTGAATGAAATATTCATAAAAATCAGTTTATCGTTCTACACCTCACGTCCGTTATCCTCCTCTATCCTTAATACTTTTATACTTATTCTTGTCATCGCCTATGTTCTTCCACTGCCTACCTAGTGTACTCCAGTGATTTTTCCTCGGCTACTGAGCAAACATTTCAAAGTTATCATCAGATTGTTAAAACACTCCTCACCCTGTATCGGTACCCTCTGACGTTAGTTCTTGCACGGCACAAGTCATAGCCCATTATGAGGATGTGTGTCAACCTCGTCAACCAAGTGGAAGTACAAGTCCATATGTACGCGCCTACCGTTTGTCAGTTATATTTCATCTAGTACGATTTTACTAGACCACAATAAAAGTCGTCTGAGAATTATTAACTAAACAATTTACGCTATGAGGGCGTTGTGTTTATCCTTTATTAATCTACCCTTTTGGTTTGCTTTTTCATCATGCTTCTTTTGCTGTATTGCCGAACGCGTGTTTTTTATCGCTGACTATTTATCCATCCTTCCTTCCTTAACTTGAATTGACCTGTTCAGGTCTATCCTGAGGAAAATTGCACCCACTGGCATGACATCCACCGACTTACCTACGACTTGATTACAACAAGTGCGACAATCATAAGTCATGCGCCCCGGAGTAACCAGTCAGCTGATGTGCTGCGAAGGACATGACCTGATTAACATAGGCAGTGTAGGTTCAACAACTAATCAAGTGCTCCACCAGAAGTCTTGCTGGCGGATATTGATGGCATTCCTTCTAGGCCCACATCGAATATGGGCAATGCTACGCAGACGCGTGTGCTCAAAGTTCACTAGGTTTTTGATCTATTCAGTGCTCGGCATCCCCCTCTGATTGGTACGCAACTTTTGCGCCACCAACGACTTGTACTCCCTATGTTTGACAGATAGCTTGAATTCTCACAGGTGATACATGTTTGGAAAAGCCGTACATTCTTTACTTATGCATGCAGTAACCTCTTGAATGAACTGAACACCAGACGGGATGCAACTGTATAGAAGTGAGCTTATAAAGCACTTCCAATTCTATGGGGAATAGTGAAATCCGTTTTGTGGTAACAGTCATGCTCTGTGTTACCACCCACTTTAAACATTTGAACTCCGTGCTGTGTCCTGCAGCCCGTTATTGTGGCTTGTTCAGCTGCATTTGCACAGCGACAGCGTCCAACCTCAAGAAAACTAACATGTGTGTGTACTCTAAGTTTATCACTCGGCTACTTAGTTGGGTCATTCAAACTTGTTTCGATCGCAAAGTTGCTGTGGCGTAGATGACTCTAGCAACTTTGCTGTTTGCCCTAACACTCTGGAAAATAATGCTTTACTAGTGGTTCGGAGTATTACAAGGTACTTAATGTCTACCTGACTGACCCTAACTGCACCATATTCCAACAGCCTTTCGAGTGCGTAACATCATTAATCTTGTTTCATATTTCATCTGTTTTTAGCTTATTCGGGTCGAATTGTCCAACTGTGCCTCCCATTCTACCTGTGCATCGTGCATCACAGCTCGTGATCCCTACTGCGGCTGGTGCGTGATCGAAGGTCGTTGCTCACTTAAGCAGGAGTGTCAGTCTGCAGGATTTCTGCGAGCCGACAGACCATCGCGCTCGTCACATTATGAATACTGTGTGCCGGATGCGGAACCCGAGCCCTTTGATGATGCGCCATTCACATGGCTTTCTTATACAAGGACGGTGGATGAGTAAGAAAGTAGTGTCACTCATTCTCAGTCACAGATTCCGAAACAATTCTGACCTTAATGTTCCTCTTTTTTATACCTCGCCTCTTTGGATGCCTCCATTACCTTTTTCTCCCTCCATTTCAAGGGATGCCAATTACTTTCAGTCCATCAAACTATGAACCAGCCTGTTCAGCCATCTCCATCGTTCTAATGCGTGTGGAATATACTTACACTTACTGTTAACTCTTGACGTAGCTTTCTCCTTCAAGTAAGAAGAGTACTGCACAACTAATGCCTATCGGCTGGTGGCAAAATATAGCACGCGCTTGCCCCTTATAAGCCAGTGTTCACCGCGGTTCGAGTCCGCGTAGATACGGGCGACCTCTCGGTACACCCGATCCACGTACCACTTGGTAGTCGCCCGGAAACGGCACGTCGATGCGCCGGGTACCGGCGTACTTCTCATGCCTTCTTTTTTAAGCATTCATCATCGGGTTTTTTCTCCATACGGTTGCCAGCTACTTGGGACTATACGGTGTTCAGAAGTTGCGGTCATCTTGCATGCCAATGTTCGTTTAATAAGTTTAAATTCTATATTCCATCCACCTTCAACCGTCCTTGTTTCTCATTAGTGCAGCACTTTCCTACTTTATGGTTGTAGGACAGTTTTATGCCAATCCATAGCGCTAACGTACTTGGGTTATCGAATAATTGTGTGTCTCCAAACCACACTTTGGGATGGGCGCCAATGAACTCGTTATTCCACAGCCTGCGCTAGTTTATACTCGGTCTGCGTGCGGTTGCTTTCAGTGTGACGACTGCCTACACTTGTCGAACTGTGATGCGTCCACCTAATCACACTGCGAATGGTCCCCGTTATGCACAGGATCAAAACGACTCTAGTATCTCTACCGAAAGGTGCCTTGTTTCACAATCTTACGTTTCTTAGTAGCATTCTCAATCTTCCCTCATTTTTCACATATTGTTATTAAATTAACTCAGCACTTTTTCTGGATCTTTTCCAGTTAAGCCCCGCCACTAATGCAAAAAGAGCACGCGCAAAAAGTTAAGCCCCGCCACTAATGCAAAAAGGGCACGCGTGAAAAGTTGAGCCCCGCCACTGTTTGCCAGCTCCAGTGTACGTAATGCATGTGAACTTGCCTCATAAAAACACTCCTTATCCGCTTCTAAGGTCAGTTTTGTCCAAAAAGTTTCTACGTTCGCACGTAAAACCTGACATGAACTTTCTGACGCTTTCGGCGGTCGTTCATGACAAGGAAACAGCAATACATTTTTTGCAAAGCCATGGAGTGATTCATCATCAACGTTTATGCAGACTAGGACACCAAATGACGCTTTCAACTGTTTCTGACAGGTGGAGGTGTGATGCCCGACAGTGTCGGCAAGAAATCGGTCTTCGAAAGGGAACTTGGCTGGAGCGGTCTAGGATGGATTTCAGGACAATAATCCTACTCATTTATTGCTGGTCCAAAAATCTGACAACAATCAAATTCTGCTCAGAGGAGTTATCTATTGGCCACGCGACCGCTGTCGACTGGAAGAACTTTCTGCGTGAAATTTGCGCTTGGCAGCTTTTGCAGACTCCAACGATTGTCGGCGGCCCAGGTCTATATGTTGAGATCGATGAAACTTTAATATCACGTCATAAAAACCATGCAGGGCGAGTCCTTCACCAGCAGTGGATTTTCGGAGGGATTTGCATGGAGACTAAAGAAGTGTTCTTGTATGCAGTGCCAGATCGAACTGCGGCCACTCTGCTGGACACAATCCAGGCCTTCATCGCTCCCGGCTCAATTATCGTTTCCGATATGTGGGCATCATACCAAGGCATTGAATTGATGATTGGCATGAGTTATACTCATCATACGGTTAATCATACCGAAAACTTTGTGGATCCAACGACTGGAGCTCACACACGAACCATCGAATCTCTCTGGCACATTTACAAGATGCAGAATAAGCGCCAATGCGGCACACACCGATCTTTAGTGGACAGCTACCTGTGTGAGTTCGTTTGGAGGCAAGGACACCGAAAAATGGATCTTTTCATGCAAATTATTAATGACTTGTCTCAATTTCACCCTCTTCAATAGAGAGTAAAAGTTCAAGTTCCATATCCTCCCTTTTCATAATCTTTTTTGGGTGGCGGGGCTTAACTGGAAAAGATCCCTTTTTCTAGTCAGTTACGTCTTTGATCAACCTTTTCCTTTATTCCAGTGGGAGTGGGAGTAATTACGCTCTGGGTGATAAAATGGAAGTTTACTGGGGGGGGGGGTAAATATAAGTACGGGGATTGGGTTAGCAATCTGTTGCCAAACAAAATTAACAATAAGATCATCTGTAACGAAACATGTAGCTAACCACCTAATCACTATTGATCAGCCATCCTTGACTACGCATGATTGCTTGCTTAGTGTATTAGCCAATATGCGGTAATAACTTTTATTACCTAGGATACTTATACAACCCTGCAAAGCAGCGCAGCTAAAGGGCGCCCATATCGGTTGGTTCGTTGATCGTTGTTCTTTTGATTCTGGCAGTCGTTCGCCTGGTCGAATTACAGAGTTGTGTGAACATTAACGTAGTAGCATATGTAGTAGTAGCATATGTAGTCCGACCAGCTAAAGCTGTGAGCGTATATTCACAGAGTAGTGGGGATAGAACAGACGGTTAGAGTTCAGGATGTCTCCACACAGACTGGTGGTAGGAAGCTGTCATCCGGGATGGAGTTGAAAGGGATGTTTGAAACAAATGAGAAGCCACTGACATCCGTTCGTGTTTGATCAGGGATCTCACAACAAAGCAACGAACCGAATGAACTTGGGGCACGACTTGTGTTGCTTGTAGCAACCCAGCCACCAGCGGAGCCTTCAAGTCCAACTTTGCACGACTTGTGTTGTACATTAGCCGAAACCGCACCAGATATAGCAGAAATTGTTAGAACTAAGCACCATCAACCGTCTCATTAACGTACATCACATTTGATTATTTAAAAATTGTTTAAAAATAGGGGTTTTATCTATTTAACTGCTCGAATCAATTAGAAATAGTATTTATGTTCCTTAATTGAATGCAAAAAGTGCAATAGTTACTTAGCTTTTTAGACTAGTTTTCATGGGTAATTGTTTGTAGTGAACCCGTTTTGTGAGTAACCGCCTCAAAAGGTGGGAACACTGCTTCATTCCAACTGAAATCGTTACATGTCGGTCGGTTACTCAGCACACCCGACCTATCTCAGGTTTACTCTAACGGCACTCGTCTTAATTATGACTAGCGGTGAGAAATCCACTGTAGTGTCATACAAGGCGCGCCCGTAAGTTCATAAAATGGGGCTTAGTCACATTAACACCAATGTTAGTTTCCATTCAAATGGCGTCGGACGGATTATGCCTTTGTATACTGTGACCTGTATGGAATGTCCAGGTCACGCGTTACCTACATTTATGGGCCTGCTGCCTTGTGGTTTACCTTGCCTTCCATGCCACCAGTTCTGCCGTGGACATGAGGTTGAGATTGTCGACTGCACAGCTGACCTAGAGTGAACTCTGTGAGTGCAGTGCGCTAATTGGCTGCTTTCGCCAACTGGCTTATCTACCTCGTAGCGATGTACGAACGCATTGGCATGTGCGCTGTCTTCCTTAGCGCGGATATCGGTGATGCCGCCACTAGTGCTAATGCTGGAGAAAGCAGGAATCCAACATCTCGCATCCATACGCCAGTTGTACTTTTAATGTTTCTCGCAGTTGGTGTGTGCTTGTCCGGTGCCATGATACATGTAGCGCCGTTGAAAACGGGCCACTTGCTTACTTCTCTTGGTTAGTGCACTTTAAGCCGCATTTGTCGCGTCATGCTTTCGATGTCTGCTGTCCTTGAGCGCTCACGTGATCCTACAGTCCTCCGGTGTCCCCCCCCCCTTATTCACCCCGCGCAGACAGTTTTGCTAAGCTGAGCGCGTCATTTTCTACCGGTCCTGTCGCATCAGTTGTTTAGCTTTGTCCGTTCTACGCACGCCGCCATCTGAACCGAAACTACACGAACTTTGGTAGTCTCGCACTCAGAATACCGCTTTAGCACTCATTCAGGATGTGCACTGGAGGTGGTCGGAAGCTTGGGGCACACAGAAACGCCCGAGGGCCTTATCCTTAATCGCTCCGATTGAGTTTGGGTTGATAGTCACGTGGACTGGTGTTCGCGTTCCATCCGTGTCAACAATCTGCAGTCGGCTACATGAAACCATGTTTAATGCTTCCGTCAAATTGACCTACTCCCCAGAAATCCATTCTCGTCTCTGTTTCTTGCAGTGGAAAATGATGTTACGCGTCTCTTTCATGGCATTTCAGCCAACCGGTTAATTGGTTACGCTCCGGAGTTCAGTGAGTACAACCACCATAGCAGTGGTAAGACTAAGCAACGGCGGTAAGGAAAGTAAGTGATAAGGTCAACAAAATCCTCTTGCCACTGTTGAATGGATAAAATGCCGATGTAATAAACCTAATGTACTGTCACTACCCGCTTCACTGAGCTGTCGCATCGACCAAGTACCCCAAGACGCCGCTTATCCCAGGGCTCGCAGTCAAGAAGACGATAGCTACCATACACGCGGGCGACGTCATGTACCGAAAACCTCGGGACTTTTCGCATAACGTAGTGTATCAGCGAACACGAGTTCGCCCTCAATTAAGTGGTTGGCAGGCATGTGAATAGTGTCGTTTAGCTAACAAGCGGTTCGTTTGCGATTACTTTTTCCTCTACTGTGGACAGGAAACTACTGAAGAAACTTCAGTACGCTTGGCCCGTGAGACACTGTTGTTGAGTATGTGACCATGCATCACAGATCCGCGCACAAGTAACATGGTCACGTAAGCACTACTGACATGTTGAATGAGAGCTTTTTTCGCAGGTTCGTTTCACTTGCGAATTTGTGCCCACTGAGTGCTTCACTGCAAACGTCGGATGCCACGAACTACTGTATTGCATAGTTAGTACCGTATCTGAAGCCTACTACCTAAACAATCCACAGCTGTGTCATTTCTAGGCGTTTGCTTCCCAGAGCTGTTTGTTCACATCCTGTATATGCCTGGTCCACGACCCGCTTTGTCAGCCCTGCCTTCATTTTTGTTGATGTTGAACTGCAATACTCGATTTAAACGACTATGTGATTGTCAAGCTTTGAATGTACCTGAAGCTCGCTACACTCCTCTCCCAGTGCGCATTCCATTATTAACGCGATTGAGGCGGACGCTATTCCTGTCTCATTAGCTCATCGAATGCTTTTCTCCTCCGTCCTATATACACTCTAGGTCATGTCTACGCCTCCTGATGCGAAATTTGTGATCCACATTGCTCACGAGGAATCGCGTGTATTGTGTGCTCTTTTGACCACAATGGGCGCGAATGGCACGAACTCAGGGAAATGTTTACCCCGGTGGTCGATACCCATGGTTTCTCAAACTGCTACTTTGTTTTCCCTGTGGTTTTGCAATCACTTGCATCAGGCGTTTTCTTGTGACATACGAACTGAAAGGCGCACTTCTGAATAGCATCCTTGGCCTTTCTTATTCACTTATCGTCTAGGCCAATCAATCCATTGCTGTTGGTCCAATTCGCCGCTTCATCCATCTTTCTGTTCGCTCTCTTAGATGCCCGTTACTGGAAAATATCAATCCTACAGGAGTCCAGGAACTTACTGCCTCCATATCCGATTATATGAAATACGCAGACCACACGTCCATCGTGCTGAATGCAGAAGGTTTACTAACCAAAGAACTTCATTTGATCATGAAGTTATCCACAAGCCACAAAGGCGATCGCTGGATTGAATCGAATGCTGTCAAGCGTGGACAGCTGAGATGTGCATTCAGACAACTACCAAATGCCACAGTGTACTCCGAAGATGTCCTAAGGGGGGCTGCGAATGACGCTACATTGATCAAACTACTCAAAAGTCTCCATCCTGGTCCACTTCTTGCCATTAGCCCTGCACAAGTAGACGCTAGGATGGATGCCATAAGAATACATTGCGACGTCCCACCTCACTCCGAAATGCCCCTCATTCCTCCAACCCAAGGTTTGTATGTCTTGTCCGCCACTGATCCTTATATGAGAATGCATTACTCCTAAGTCAACCGATACCTGATTTGATGAACTGCAGCTTGGTACACATTGAACTAGGCCTTATCCCTAATCCCATTTCCTTCCCTGTTTCCGGTTCATACCTTTTTCGTTTACCAATGACATTGCGTTCACTACTCCTGGCTTCTTCAACCATTGCGCATTCACTCCGCCTAGTAACAACCGACAGCACTTCAATAAATTGTACTAGTTCAGCCATCGCGAGCAACTCGCTGAGTTCAACTCTCAAGGTGTCAACTATCAGCACCTTTAAAATAGCTACACCCAAGTTCTTTTCTCACTGCACTTAATTGGACATGAGATGTTCAAGTGCATAGCGAGGCGGCTTATGTTCACTCATCGGCATCTCAATCACACTCCATCACCATCATTGCCTTTCTAACTGAACTCAGCTTTGAATCGAACGAGACCAGAACTCCGAGTTACTATCACAATACTTATCGAGAAAAGGGTGGTGAAGCGTATGGTTCGGGGTCGGGGCGAAGTGTGAATCTCAATGAAGAATGCATTTATACGGGTTAAGGAGCACTGCTTTACCAATCCACTTGGATGGTTTGGTACGGTTATCGAAAAAATATTTAAGCATTTAAGTATTAAAGGAAGGGCTTTTACTTTCTTATGTTGTAGTCCTGCAATCCGCGTGACAGCAAATAAACCCAATGTATGTTCCAAGAGTAGGATGGCGACATAATACTACGTAACCAATTTTTTACTATTGCTAGTGTCGGTGCAGAAATGATCAATTCGGGGAGAGCATTCTACGAGTGACATCCGGGAATAGAAAAGAAATTCCTGCCGCACTCCAGACGGTTATACAATCCTGCAAATTTCAATGAGTGACCTCTCATGTTTGTATTGCTGCTGAGTTACGGTATGGAGCGGAACACATGATGTGGGTCATGCGGAAACAAGTATGCTATTATCAAAAAGGACCTTCGCACAAATTGCTTCAATTACAGGGGCATCAGTTTGGTTCCCGTCGTTTGCAAGATTCTGGTGTCCTTCATTCTTCGCAGGCTATCCCCAACGCGTGAAACACTACAGCAAGAAGAACAGGCAGGGTTCCACCCTGGTCGCGGATGCATCGATCAGATTTTCACACTCCGCCAGATTATCGAGCTCCGCCATGTGTATCAAAATCCAACGATTGTTGTATTCCTGGATATCCGTGCTGCTTTCGATTCTGTCGACAGGCCTGCATTGTGGCACTGTCTGTTGAGGAATGGTGTTCTCGGGAAGTTCGTTTCCATTCTGCGTGCTCTGTATAGTCTGACCTCGGGTGGAGTTAGGGCTTATGGCAAGCTTTCGCCTTCCTTTGTTGTCACCAGTGGGGTTCGACAAGGATGCTCTTTCTCTCCATTCCTCTTCAACTTAGCCATTGAGGATGTCCCCAAAAGTGCCCTATAAGAATTGTTGAACGATGACGTTCAACTTCTCCTAGGTAATCGGATGGTTGATTTGGATTAGGCACATGATATCGTCTTGTTAGGTGACCGTCCGCAGGCCGTCCAACTTGCACTTAACCGCCTGGCGATTGAAGAGTCGAAGTATGGCATGCACTTCTTATCATCCAAGTGCAAAGCACTTTTTCAAGACTGGTATACGCCCCTATCTGCACTCACCATTCATGGGGAAACGTTATTAGTACTACAGTTTTGTCTACCTGGAAACCTGCATAACTGCTGGCGGGGCTGTAGTAAACGAAATTTCGATGCGTATCTCAAGAGCGTGTCTCGCCTTTTCCAGACTGAGGCATTTATTGCGCCGCCATGACATCCGTCTCTCCATCAAAGGATGGGGTTATAGTGCTACTATCCGCGCTGTATTGTTGTACGGCTGCGATACGGCCTGCTCATACCGATGACCTACGTTGATTGCCTGTCTTCGAGAAGCGTTGCTTGCGCTCCATCGCCCGTGCGTGGTAGCTGAACCCCCTAACCAACGCTGAAGTCAAACAACGTGTCTTGAGTGGAGATAGCCACTCCCTCGAGGCACTTGTCTCGCTGTGCCAACTAGGATGGCCCGGACACGTACTGCGTATGCCCGTTCAGCGTTTTCCGTGTCGTGCCTTGTTCGCGATGGTTGGACAGGGTTGGAGGAGGCGGTGTGGTGGACAGCATGCCACTTGGAGTAACAGGATGAAAAACCCGACAAAACAGCTGACCAATGTGGGTTCCTCCCGACTCCCAGGATGTGCTCTCAAGGATGCTGAGTGCAGTTGATTGAAAAGGTTGGAACTCATGCCTCGAAAACGAACGCAGTGGCCGATCTGTATCTCTGCTTGTTGCAATGGTTCCCCTTACCTCCCCCAATAAAAAATCGAAAACTTTGCGTGGAAAAATGGACGAAAAATTGTTTTTTCCTTCTTCTTTTACTCTAACCCTGCTTTTCTATTCCGCCACGGTTCCGATTGCACAATCTCTGTACCCAGCATATGCCATATATACATATATATATATATATATATATATATATATCGCCTCGTAATCCGCAATATCTTCCGCTGAATGTCCCCAACGTTTTAGCCTCAGCTTCGCAACGAGTCTGGACCTTAACACGGTGCGACGTTTTGCGTACCTCATTGACCCATTGAGCTATACTGGGTGGTGCCTCCAGGCACCTTGAGAGCTACTCCTACCAAGCCGGTCAATGGTGAGAGGTCAGACAAACTCAGGCTTCTGGTCCTCCAGGTTGGGGGTTTGAAATGGGATGGCGTTCATTTCTGTAAAACTAAATCATTGCCACATCCCTGCTGCCTTTCGGACACGCTTTTAAGCCAAAGACCTTGGATGAGGACCGCAATCGTCCTCCTGTCTAACTCTGGGCGCCCTGGCAGTATCTCACCCAACATACAACCATGGCATTTTCTTCTAACACAAACTTCATCATATATCGTCTGTCGCGCAGATTATCAAGGGTCGCCTTATCTGCTGCATACAGCAGGGCGGATAAGCTAAAACATGCTACTGTTGGCACCTTCCTTCTTTCTTTTTCACCTGTTTCTCTTACTCCCATCTTGACCCCCATTACTAATCCTCCTATAACTCCCAGCTTAATTGACAGCAACCGAAGTGCCACTGGGGTAGAACCATCTGCAGCCACCTCGCGACACGCACCGGACACATATCGGCAACAGTCCTTTATAAGGCCACGCTGTCCCGTTTTCATGGTGACGTTCAACGTTCGCACTCCAAGACAAATAGGTCAACAGGCTGCACTCGCACACACTTGGACACATTGGGTATTGATGTGTGTTGTGTGCCGAAACTAGGATCAATGACCTTAATGGGGTTATTGAATTAACTGTACCCGGCCTATCCTCTCGTTATTGGTTGCACACTTCCAGAGACGCCGATGCAGCACTCACGGGTCAAGCTGGCGTAAGTATCATTCTAAGCTCCAACGCTGTGCGATCATTGGTTGATTGGATTCCGGTGAACAGCCGTTTATGTGCAGCTCGTTTGCCGACATCAGCTAAGGTGGATTCACGAAGTAGTACAAAACGCTGTTTGTTTGTGATTTCCGCTTATGCTCCCACCGACTGCAGTTTTAGTGCTGTCAAGGACACTTTCTATCACGAACTGCACGCGCTACTACGCAGTGCTGCTAGTTCGGATATTATAGTACTTGCAGGGGATATGAACGCACAAGTAGAGCGTCTGAGTTCTTCAGTAGCTCAGCTGGGTGGTAATTATGGGCTTAACTCCGAACGGACTGACAACGGCGACCGTCTGCTGCAACTGTGTGCGGAGCACCAGTTGTTACATAGTAGCACTGCTTTTAGACACAGTGGACACCGAAGTACCACTTGGCGTCCTCATGTAGCTGGCCAGCGATGGACCCAACTTGACCACATAGCCACAAGTTACAGTTGGCTTGGTTCTATCCTGGATTGCCGCTGGTACTGGAGTACCTGCGCCAACTCTGCTCATGCCTTGGTACACTGCCGTTTCTCCACAAACTTTACCGAGAGGCGCACCAAGCGTTCCTCCGATTGGCAACTGAGAAATTGTGTCAGCCCTCGGTCAGGCAAGTCTATCAAGACACACTGCATACCGAACTGTCTCGTTCTAATGACAAGGAGGTTCACTGGAATAGGATCTCGGCCACCATGCTCGACACAAGAACATTTGCTTGTGGCATTATCCATCGTCACCGCACCAGTCACTGGATATCCGAAAGGTCGGTGAACCTGTTGGAATCTAGAAGAAACTTCCCGCTGGCTCTGAGCACAATGTGACCAGACGGGCTATTAGGCGTGAACTAAAGCAGAGCCTGCGTGCTGACAAGGAAGCGTGGTGGACCAGCAGGGCTCAAGAAATGGAGGAGGCAGTAGCAGTAGGCAATTACCGCAAGCTCTTCCAGCTAATCCGCACCACTGGTCCCAGGAAACCAGGCGTCAGTGAGACAATTAGAGACAGCGCGGATGCACTGATACACAATAAGGAGCGCGGTGTGGCTTGTTGGGCTGAACACTTTAAAGATTAGTTCGGCTTGCTCCCTGCTCCCGGACCTCTTCCTACTCAGGTGATGCAGGACGAGCCATGAGCGGTTAGTTTAGAGCCTTCGTCGGAGGCCGAGATCCGAAACGCGATCACAGCCCTTAAACGCTTTCATGCCGCTGGCCCGGATTCCCTCCCACTTGCAATGTTTAAGGATGGAGGTGAGGTCCTCTGCAAAGCACTGACCTCCCTATTCGAACTTATCTGGAAGGGAGCGAGTGTACCGGATAGTTGGAGCGAATCGATTATAGTCGCAATATACAAGGAGGGCAGTCGCACAGATTGTTCAAACCACAGGGGTATTAGCTTAACGCCAGTTGTGACAAAATTACTGGCCTCGATTCTCATTCGTCGCCTCACTGTGGGACGGGAATCTCGGATTAGGGAAGAGCAGGCCGGTTTTCGCCCAGGACGTGGCTGTATAGTCCATACG